TTTTTTTAAATGCTAGTTTGAGATTGGGTTTGATTTGAAATCAAATCAAACCCAAACTTGGCCTAAAGTTTGATTTGATTTGGGTTTGTAGAAACCCTAGTGTTAAAAGACCCATTGCTGACAAGTTAGAAGTCGATTTTGAGGGACCCATAAGTTGTATTAAATAAGCCTGGTACTGGCACATAAGTAAGTACTACAAGAGGAGAAGAAACAGCAAGATCTAGTTGGCAAAGAGAAGTCACCTCTTGATAGTAGTTACGGGAAATAAATTTCAAGTAACAGAAGAAATAACAAAGCACTACAAATGAAAGAAGCTAAATTGACCACAGAGCACCAATTAACTGAGATAAAGATTATGAAAAGACCTACTGAATTGAATATTGAAAAAGAAAAGGAAAAGTTTAAACAATACAAAAAATAGATCCAAAATAGACGAGCATAGGGTACCCGATCCAAGCAGAAAACCTGCTAACATAGATTAAAATGGAAGAAGAATTGAAAATGATGAAAATAGGATATCTGCCAATAAGGAGCTCGATAAGAAGGATAAATCTGATGTTAATAAATGCCAAAAAGACCACGAGATGGAAAGAGCCAAAGGATTCTGAGCTGAAAAAAATAAATAAATAAAATAAAAATAAAGATGAAGTGTTCGAAAGATCTACCAAACTAAGCCTTGATAATGACATGAAAAAAATTCTGAACAGGCACCTATCCATTGTCAAGAATCTTCAAAAACTGTTTCAAAAAGTCCTGCGAATAGTGGATAGAAAAAAAAAGTAATTAAATTTAAATTTAAAAAACTTATCCATAAGGAAATAGACACTCCAATACTTATCAATATGTCAGTTACGAACTCGAATCTTCAATCCCAGTAGAAAACAATCACCAGAAGAAAGAGTTAGAAGAAAGGAAGTACTAACCTGACCTCCACCCATATGCTATCCGAATTTTATACCTGAAGATATAAAGCAAGGAGAGAGAAATATAAGACCGGAAACATGATCTGATAGCAGGCACGTGACCATGTGACTTAGTAAATCTTAATTTGGGTTTTCTGCCCAGATTTGCCAGATATCCCAGATATGTCAAAACCGCGAGATTTGAAAAATCAAGGTTATTTGGATGAAATGGTGAATCTTAATTATATGGACTATAAAGCTGATAATGGGTTTATTGATGATATTTGGGATATGTAGGATTTCTGAAAATGTAAATAATAGAATTACAATTATAAATAAAGGCCTTCTGGCCCTTCAAAACAACAAACAGTTTCTGTTTTGCCTAAATAATAAAGTACCTAAGTCATATAAACATAAACTACTAACTACATACTTTTATTTATAAACCACTCAACTAAATCTAATTTGACTCTAAAGTAACCTAGATTTTGGTTACACAGACCTCCTTTTGATTTAGTGACAGACTCGCCAATTTTCGGGTTGACAACACTATTTTTAGATTTTTGCATAAAATGAACGATATAATATATATGTAAAGTATAATACATATATAAAGTATAATATATAGTATAAGGTTGGGTAGCTAATTGGAAATGAAAAAAAATAACATGCTGAGATAAAATAAGATAGATTAAGTATAAACCCAAAATGTATAGAAATTATTTGAGAACTACCAAAAGAAAATAGAAATTCAGACTTTTAAGTTTATCAAAATCTGATTAGTGATATATATTATATATATTAGATTTTACTATTGTACTATCAGGTTTTTAAAAGCCAAATCAGCTAAAATAAATTATAAAATTGAAAGCTCAAAGTATAATTTACTCCTCTTAGTTAGATAATTTTATTTGAATCCAGACCTAAATGTTATTATGTCTTAAATTAAATTAGTCTGGGTTTAAAAAAATAATTACCCATTTGTGATATTCATCAATCAAAATAACAATTTCTAACCTAATATAGTGATATATAACACAAATCAGCATAGTATGAATCTAGTGTAAAGTATTTTATCTGACAAACTTATATGATTATGAAAAAACATTTCTTTTGTTATTTTTTATGTGTTACAATTTAATTATGTTTATTCCAATATACAAGCTAAAAACTTAGCGAAAGACTTCCTACCAATTATGATCAAATTGTAGGATAACACCATTATTGGGCAAATTGTCGAATATGGCAATTTGACAAATGATTTGCTATATGTACCGCAAAGCGGCACATCTCATTTGCCAAATTACTGTTATTCAACAATTTTTGCCCAATAATTTATACTTAATCTAGTGTTGGGCCTGGATATTAGACTACCCTTGTTCAATTCAGTCCAATCTATTGGACTAGAGGGTATTGGACATTGAAATGGTCTAATAATAATAATATATAATATTATGTATTATGTTTAACGTAGGGCCCTATGGACTCAAACCGAACTGGGAGTTCGAATTTCAGACTGAACCCGAACCTAACCAATATAAAAAGGCTGTTTGGGTTTGGTTCAAAGCCAAACCTTTGAAATATGTTTGGGCTCTGTTCGAGTTCAGTCCATTTACAAACTAGTACGGGTCCAATTGAGCTACTAGTATACATATGATCCGGGTGGGAGTGCTTTGTAGAATCTTGAACTAATTTAGCTTCGTTCATGAATAAATAGTAAATTGTTTATAATAATAAACTAATACACATAATTTTAGAGTATAAAGTTTCTCTTTATTAACATAAATTATTATATCAGATTACAGTCAGACCTCGTTATAGTCACTCTTGATATAGTCACAACTTTGATATAATCACGCTGTTTTTAAACTCGGGCTATTATAAAGCATATAAAATTTGACTTTTATATAGGCACGACTTTTTATAATCACCACATTCTTGTTTCCCAAGCTGGTGATTATATCGAGGTTTGACTGTATTACAATAATACTAAATACCATCAATCATCATTCTAACACTTCACAGACATATATATCTAATTCATATGAGGGTTTTTAATCTCTTACTTGAAGCTTCAATACCTCAATTGGGCCTAACCTGAACCTTGGAGCCCTATCTTGATGGTATTATTTGTATGAATCATTAATTCTAAAACTCACAATATAATTAAAAATTTTTGTCACATAAGATGATTGAACATACTGGACCTGGACCATGTCCAAGTATATGTTAAATATCTATGTCCAGTTCAATAGTGTTAAAAATAGGTAAACATATGTCAAATGCCAATACTTCTTATACCTATACCATATAAATTTAGTTGTCTACACCATACTGATATGCGAAATTATAATTTAACACATTAGTCGTTCTTTTTTAGATACAGTATTTAAAATAAGTGAATAAAATCAACAAGCCTAAAAAAGATCAATAGATAAGTAGATTACAGAACCTAAAATTGGCAAATTTAATCTGTTAAATATAGAAAATAGAAAATTAAACTCATATTAATATTTTTGCATAACTATATTGATATGAGATGCTATAATTAAACAAACAAGAATTTTCATAAAATTTGAGATGTATATAGTATAGTGTGTAAAATACCTCTTTAATAAAACATATCATACTAATCAATTTTAATTTTTTAATTTAATCTAATAATATATTATGTTAGAACAGATATTAAAAATAGTTGGTAGACATATCACATGTTTAGCATCTTCTTGATCCTATGTCAACTTGAACTATTGCAACTGAAAACAATTATAGTTTTATCTATTTGAATATAGCATGTTATTTAAATTAAATTTGGACTAAACTTTGAAATTTTCCATAATTAGTTACTAGTTTTATTACTGTTGTCAAATTAGTGCAATAAGCAAAATTTTGTATATTCTATAAATTCTGTATTTTATTATCACTAAGCAATAGTAATATGCAGAATTCAAAAGATTTAATAAATTTGCATATTGTATTATTTTGAAACAGTGACTTATTTTATATATACTATTGGCATTATATTAATAGTAAAATGTTTTATAATAACTAGTATTACTAGTTTTACAAATATCACCAGTTTCACTAATATTACTAGTTTCACCAAAATCACCAGTTTTACCAACACCACCAGTTTCACCAAAACCACCAGATTCACCAACATCACCATTACTACTATTTCACCAGTTTCACCAATTTGGCTATTATAATGCACTAGTGGTGCACTAGTATCACCAGTTTCACCTGGTGAAATTAATTAGTATTACCTGCAACTCTAATGTAAACTACACTCTTTACTATACTATTTTAGTCTTTCATATTATTTTTACATATTTTAGATTTAGAGATCAACACAGATTTCAAAAATTCTATTTTAAAACTTACACAAAAAACAATCTAAAAAAATTTATAGTATAGTATGTTATATTATTAAATACAGTAAATAATAAAATTGTTATTTCTGATTGATGAATTATCATAAATAAGAGTAGTAAATCATACTTCAAACCTTCAATTTTATAATTTATTTTTACTAGATTTGGCCTTTAAAACCTGATAGAACAATAGTAACATCTATAACATGAAATCATATATAATATATACAGCCTTCCCTTTCTATCAGGATTATAGTAACTTTTTTAAAAAATATGCTTATAGTATTGTGTTTATATATAGACTTTTTTTCTATATGTTTATTATAGTTGGTTTTAAAATAAATATGCTTATAAAGAGGATTTTATATTATGCGCTTATATAGGGGTAACTATAGAGAGGAAAGATTATATATGATTAGGTTTTCACAAACTATACAGGTTAAATCAATTAATATCAAGTACATACTGGGAGACAAGTTTCCTGATATATACCTGATAGTCTACCATAAATTTACTATATATCATCAGCATATTGGAATATTATTGGTAAGATATTAAGAGGTAGATCAATATTGGTAATATAACAGCACAATATTGGAATATTCTGATAACTTACTCTTAGGCCTAGAGCACTAAGTGTAAAATATTATGATATCCCAATGATGTGCTGTTAAGTTACTGATATTGATCTACTCTGATTCTTACTAATATGCTCCCAATTAGTGTTGGAAATCTGTTTTGAGATTTATATTCTCATAAGAACAAATTTATTTAATTTAATATTCTCAAATTTTTATTTATGTTCTCAAAAAATAAAATTTATTTATATTAAACTTCTTATTTTGAAAAATATTGATTATTACTATATCTTAATTATTAATAGAATTATTATTAAAAGTAAGTGTTTGTTTATTATTTCTTTCTTTATAAAGAGGATAACTATCTGTATTTATTGATGTTATATTATGAAAATTTTTTGAATAGTTTTTTTTGCATTTATTATTTTCCATATATAGTGTTTTAAAGTTGTGATAACCACAATAGAAAGTGTATATAAAAAAGACTATATTTTTGAAATTCTATTATATAAATATAAGTAACTATTTTATAAAAAAAGTCTTTTTTTTTGTCACTTTATTTAAATATATGTACTACTAAATCTGGTTGATCTGTTGGTGTTTGATTAAGAAATAATTCATTAACAATTTTAGGCTATCTAGGGTTTGCAGTCATAGTTTTAAAATATCAGGATGTTAATAATATCAGGTAATAGCAATTGAATCTTAAAAGATTTCAAACATATAGTATAAGCTACTAATATATATAGAAAGA